ATTAAAAAACATGTCATTACATTGTGATCGGGGTGGAACTTACAGTTCAAAAGCACACTATCGACAAACAAGTTCTCGTCTAATTGATTGTCCATTTGAAATATATGCCTCACAATGCAATGGTTTATGGAATTTGGAAGTTTGTAACTCAAATCACAATCATGAATAGTCAGATAATATGTCAGGACATTCAATTTCTCATAGATTAACTAAACAACAACTGGAAAGAGTTAGAGAAATGACTGTTTCAGGTTCACGTTCTAGGAAAATTGTATCAACTCTTAGACAAAATGATGAATTAACATTAGTAACTAATAGAGATATTTACAATGCACGTGAACAACTTCGTCAACAATACCTGGCAGGACGAACACCAATTCAAGCATTAGTTGATAAGCTTCAAGAGGGTGAATTTATATATAAATACAAATATGATGATAATGGATGCATTACTCACCTTTTTTTTGCACATAATGAGTCTATTGCTCTTACTTGACAATATTTCTCAGTGTTTCTCATGGATTGTACTTATAAGACAAATAAGTTTGGAATGCCCTTATTAAATATTATTGGGATAACAAGTTTCTATACTATTTTTTTTTCTTGTTTTATTTTTATGAAAAGTGAAAAAAAAGATGACTATCAATGGGCTTTAAATAATGTCGCTTATTTGTTTGATGGAATTGTACAACCTGATATCATTATAACTGATCGGGAGTTATCATTGATAAATGCTCTTAAAGAAATATTTCCTAATTCAACCAATTTATTATGCATATGGCATATTAATAAAAATATTTTAAAGAATTGCAAGCCGCAATTTTTAAAAGAAACAGGAACCAGTAATGATTGAAATACTTTTCTTTTAAACTGGAACAAAGTTATCAAATTCAAAACTGAAGATGAATTTAATATAAATTGGCAAGAATTTCATTCTAATTACATTAATATATCTAATGTAATTACTTATATCGAAGAGACTTGGTTACCTTGAAAAAAGCAATTTGTAGAAGCATAGACAAATAATTTTTTTCATTTGGGAACAACCGTGACATCTAGAATTGAAGGTGCTTATGCTGTACTTAAAAAATACTTACGAACATCAACAGGAGATCTTTATCAAGTCCGTAAAACAATATCTTTGGCAATAATCAATCAAAAAAAAGAAATTGATGCAATGATTGCATCTGAACGTATTCGATTTCCAGCTTTTGTTCATAATAATCTATTTTATGCCAATGTTAAGGAAATGATATCAACTTTTGCTCTTAAAAAAATAAATGAGCAATATCAAAAGATCAACAATACTGCTATAGAAACTCTATTACCATGTACTGAATCATTTTCGAATACGATGGGATTACCTTGTGCTTATATTATTCAACATCTTGGAGATAAAAATTTAACATTAGATAATATTCATAAGCATTGGTGGATTAATGAATATATACAAACATCATCAACGTTACCGATTAATAGAAATAAAAATTTGATTGAATCTCTTTTACAAGATCTAAAAAATAGATATCAAAATTGGCCTGAATATCAACAAGTAGCTGTACAAAAATCAATAAGCGATATAATTAATACACCATCAGTTATCTTACAAAATCCTCAAATTATTCGTACTAAAGGACATCCTTCTGGTTCTTCTAATAATCGATCAACAAATTCAACAAAAAGAGATCCTTCTGGATTTGAATTTATAGAATGCAAAGTAAGATGTTATACTTTTTGTAAACAACCTGAACATTATTCTTGTACTTGTTCAAATTTACAATAGGTTTAATTAGTTATTTCTTTGTAATGTTTATTACATTAATAAAATTAAGATTGATAATATAAAATTTTATAATTAGTTATTTAATATGGCTAGATTATATAATCACATGATCGAAATACCAGCCACATGAGATATAAATATCAAAAATGAGAGGTACAAATATCAATTCCCTACATAAATTAATTATTAAAATTATAAAAACTTATGAAATACTTCAAAAAAAATTATAGATATTTTCTATTGATACTAATTTTATTAAATTTGATTGAAATATTTTTTTCATTTTTTTAGGATTTCGAGACATTATATTTTTTTTGATAAATTTATTTTCACAAGATTTTCTTTCATAACTAAGCAAAAATGACAGGAATTATTTGAATTGCTTGATTTATAAGTTAAACAGAAGGTTGCAGCTTCAGGCCAATCAGATATAATTATTAATATTTTTGGAATAAATTGTATATTTTTGCCTTCAATTGAATAGTTGATTTTATTTTTTGTTGAAATTAATAACTTAAGTAATATCTTCAGACATTTGTGAAAGGTTTCATATACAATCTTTTTAAAATTTTGTGATTGTTTTTCCATTATATTTTTTGATTTAATTATTGGCAAATATCCTAATAGTTGTTTTGCATCCGGTTTATTGCACTCCCAAGTTGTTATATTTCCTAATGAAACATATATTGGGTATAATAAACTCTTTCCCAAAGTATTACAATTTGTTATATCCGAATATAATATTATTGAAAGTAATTTAGAACCTGGCGGAATAGAATTCTCTGCATCTTTCCACCAGTCACAATTATTTAATTCTTTATATATTCTTTCTTTACCATTCTATAAATGAATAAATTATAAGTAAAAAAAAATTAAACATTTAACAAAAT